CATAAGCCGCGTGTTATAAGATGGGAAACACAAGTTTACCTAAGTTTGAAGTAATATTTTCTGTCAAAGTAAAAAAGACGATATTAAAATAAGTGTATCGCCAACAGAAACGTTTAAGATATTAACTATAAAGTTTGTCGACGGTTAACTATACATCATAACAGATTAAAAAATAACAATACGTCAGTGGCAATGATCTGATAGACAGCGAATAAATGATTTGATTGAATTTGACGTACGACTTGCCTACTTTATTATAATGACATGACTAATATTAAATCAATTACATCGTTAAAAGATTGTTGAACTGTATATTATATTTTAGTTGAAGTATTTTATTAATGCTTTCAGCATTACATAATATATTTAGCCATATATTTAAAATCACCACGTGGTTATTTTGTTTGTATTATTAACATGTGATACGAAAATTAATATGAACAAACTAGCTGTTCCCATGCGACTTCATTCGCGTAAAATTATAAAAAAATCATTTTATTGTTTACCTTTGTCAAATTATCAATAGCAAATGTCAAAATGACATGACATAACAAACCTTGGCAATCTTGCTTCCTTGATGTTGGCAGCACCTTATGGTCTCTTTCCCACATTAGGATTTTTATCCAAAATATTTACCCCCTGAGTTTAATGGCGTGAAAATATATAGCCTAAAGCGTGACGTAAGTGTAGGGCTTTTTATTAAAAAAGGAATTATTCAGAAATAAGCTGTAATTGCTGACATCTTAGGCAACAAAGAAGTATGTGTTTACGCTTTATTATAATAGTGTAGATTTTAAAAACATTCATCTTCGATAACACGCAATCGTCAACTTGTCATTACGAACACTTAGGTCAGTCTTACAAAAGCTTCGAGAAAGTTAAAATATAGACTATAAAACGTTTAAATCCATAAACAATGACAGCTGACAAGACATTAAAGAATAATAACAAATGTATGCATGAAAAATATTTGCACGTACAAGCAATCTTGAGAATATCATCTTTATTGTTGATGATACAAAAAATGTACCTTGACCGTAATTGTCCAAGCCTTTTGTTTAATTTACAATAGACTTTAGACTTTGTATAATCGCTATGCCCCTATTATAAACATATACATTATAAATTTAATTATTTTAAAGTACAGTGACATTTTTGTGTACTTTCTCGATGAGGAAGCAAAATTATCGAATACCATGGTGTGACGCAACCCTTACGTATTAAAAAATAATATGACCAGTAAACGTAACTTGTTTTAAGCTTAAATTTTAAATCTACAACTTCCCGTATTCAATTACCACATGTTTGAAAATTTGTAAGACTTTCCGTATTTTTTTTACAAATAATCCTTTTTATGTCTACAACTATTAAAAAAATATAAAAAAAAAAAGAATTTGTATAATAAATTGATATTAAAAAAATTAAGGTCATATTCAGGTTTCGATTTTAAAATTCTACCTTGTATGTAAAATACTATAAAATCCTAAAACCAGGGTTTTGCAAAAGTTTAAGGTTATATTCAATTACCATAAACGGACGAAAGGCTTCCTAATGTCTATAAAAACTGACGTATATAACAAACTATCTTTGTTTTTTTCTAGGTCATGGACATGACAAATAAATAATATATGTGGCTTCAAAAAAATGCGGCTTACTCGCATATTGAGTTACAGAGAAATTTCTCAGCAAAAACTGGCCTTACCGCAAGAAGACAGGTCATTTTAAGTTATTTATCAACCAATATAAGTACCACGTATTCTTATACAGTAAACTAAGGCTTCGTGTATAAATAACCTAACATTTTTGCATAAATTAAAAAAAAACAATATCCGGGCGGTTTTAATTTACAATGTCCCGGATCCCCAGACGACTTGTATGGGTTTTTACAAAATAATAATTTGATTGCCTGCATATTGAATCAGGTATAGATAATATACTATTATATCTCTTTTACTTCTATTCTATTTAAAAGAAAATACCCATAACGTGTTAGAAAAAAGTAAACTTTATTACAATTTTATGAATGATCTGTTTAGGTAAACCTAAGGATCTTATAAATAATAAATTAAAAATCTCAATTCTTTCTGTTAAACTCAGGATTAACTCTTCTAATAATTAATTTCAGTTATTACTATATACGACTCAAGTACGTATACAATTCGTCGAATTAAAATAATTATCTATTTTTACATTGAATTAAATTCTTTTTTCTCGTATTTTATCAAGACCTTGTTTTTTTTAATAATAAGGTCTAGGCAAGAAGGTCATTATTACATGCAAAAGTGCACACGATAACTTACGTATTAAAGAATAAATATAGATTAAAAAAAAACTTACGTCTCTTTACTCGGTCTTAATTCATAATACATCGTTCATAGATTTATCGACTCTGTAGAATTTGGACTTGGGATATAAACACAGATTACTTATTACAATCTTATTTAGTTTATAAATTCGAAGTTCAGTTTTTGGTTAAACTATTTTCGTAAACCAAATCCTATCACAAGTATGGTATTAAGTTGGAATGGTTGGTTTGCATATTAATAAATTTCGAATAACCTAATTAGATTTAGATAATAATACATTTTACTTTTATTAGTAATACTTAAGCTGATCAAAATCAGAGCGAAATGATTTTTTTATTATAACAATCTTGTGGACAAGTTATTTTTTTTTCTTGTACATGAATCATAAAACTGGTTTATTCGCCTTTCCTAATCCATCACGCTTCACTTGTCTAACGGATACAAACGAAAATTACATCCTGTATTGATAAATGGTATTCACTGCTCTGTTTATCGTACTAATACACTATACTAATAACATTTTAATGAACAATAATACGAAAGTTATTTCTAGTACAATTTTATGACTATATCGCCAGTTAATTAAAAAAAAGATTCAACTATGAATGAACATTAACATGAGCCAGAAAAAATATTTAGTACTAAAAGTCCAAACGAAAAAGCTGGTAAAAGCAATAAAATCACTTTATTAGTAAAACATTACTCATTTATATTAGTAACAAAATATTTAACATAACGAGTATTTTCTTGATATTTATATGATACCTTAATTTCGATCATGTTCATAGTTACTGACAAATATAAATAAATCCCGGATATGTAACTAGAAAATATACAAACTGCATCGGTAAATATAAAATGTGTCAAGGAAATCATATACTGAAGGAAAGGGGTAATTAATTGCTACGATAACGCATTTACGTATTGTTTTTGGTATATTTGTATATAAATTACGATTGTTTTTGTAATACTTATCAATTTTCAAGTCTTGATTACAAATTTAATTATTATCTTACATATTATAATAAAGACTAAAAACTGTCAAAAACGCGAAATTTATTGATACAGTATAGAACAGAGTTCTATCAAGCCTTCTCGTTTAGGTGTCCTTTATTAAGGTAAATACTCGTATAATTTATGACTTCTAATTATCAGAGAAGTTCAATGGACGTTCGCCAAAATGAGAGGTCACTTGTTGCCCTCGTTCGGACTCCCGCAACCTTGACCACATCAGGCCATCTTGTGGGGGACCTATGACCTATGCGCGATGTTAAAATAGTTTATACTCATTACTTGAGTACAATGTTCTGTCTATTTCATACAATGTAGAATATTGTTTCTGATGCAAGAAAATAGCACTTTTTGTATTTAAATTGTACTTATTGTCTATCGTGTTTCTTTAAGTAAATAACATATTAAATGCAAACATCCATAATTGTTGTCTGAATATTATTTATTTAAGAACAACAAACAAAACATTACTCATGTATTTTATGAGAACAAATGTTACTTTAATTAATAAAACATTTGTTTAAAAACAAATGACAATAGAGTTTCATTAACCCCAGAACTCCGATATTGTGCCACATTTATGTTGCCATCTCTTACATTTCTTTTGACAAAATTGAGAGAACAATATGTCTGTCGAGCATGTTTATGGTAAACCATAATACGGTCAAATTAAGAAATTTCGTACTAAATAACCCGTTCCGGCGCCAAGTCACGAGTCGAGAGTACTTCACAATTTGTTTACTGTTTACTAAACGATCTCCGTTCCATTTTATCTCTTAAATAACCATAATAGTTATTACCATACAAGTTTATCTGTTGAAACAATTTATATAGCTTTATGAGAACGTGATTATAATTCTAACATTTCAATTAAGAACAGATTTTAAAGTATGCGAATGAAAATCTCTGTTCTTTATTCTTACCATTGTTTACTTTGTCGTATTTCGAATTTTAAAAGTACAAATGAAATTTAACATCGAGCGATATGTCAACATTTTAGTAAGAAGCACTACACATCTTTCAATATCTATGTTGTATATAGTTATTTTAAAGAATGACATTTGTGGTCCAATTTAACGAGTGTTTAATTCTATACTCTTTAAATGTAATAAACATTTAGTATACCTAGGCTGTATTAACCAAAATATTTGCAGTAAAACTGTTTTAAGTATGTAGTGTCGTGTGTGTTTTTAAAATATTTTAACCGATTAAAAATCTAAATGCAATTAATACGGCTGTATAATTGATGGAATCACGAACTTATAACTGCCAATAAATCAATTACATAGTTCTAAGGTTGTTATAAATTTAACGCTTGTCAATGTCAACTAATATCTATATAGCAGTACGACGGTTAGTATAACTAAATGACTTATTTATGGGTATCGTCAAAATATTTTATACAACAAAAACGACCAAATATTCCTTACAATATTAAATTTAATGTCTCTATCAAATGTTTAAGAATCTGGACGTACTAACTAATTTATTAATGATTTTAAATTTATTATTTATGCTTATAAAATTTTGTTGAAATTTTAATTGTATTATTTGACAAAAAAATTAATTAGGACATTGTTTTAAAAATAATTTATTTACCGGTTCAAAATTTAAAATATTACTTTGGTTACAAGTGTACTTAATTAAAAAGTATTATTTGATAAAAAAAAATCGTAAACTTACGATAGTGATGTAGCTGTTCATTTTGTTGCACGTGTTCGGTTATCTGTCGATCGGTGCACAGTATCACAGGTCGGTGCGATGTGTTACCGCAGACTGGCGCACAGCGTCACTACGACGAGCCGCTCCCGCTGCAAACCAAACGTACGGTGGTGGTAATCGACAATTACCGTCAATGTCGCAGCACAACACTATAATCGGACAATACTCGAACGTAAATCGCATTCGAAATATGATCGCGGGATTGTAGTAACGTGACCTTGTAACCCGATTGGATTTAGATCGCAGTTTGATTGGACATTTCTTTTTTTTTATGTACTGACCGATCGATCGGTTCCGTGGATGCGAGTGGTGTTGGCAGCGTGAGCTTGGACCGGGTTGTAAGCAGTCGAGCGGCGTATTCACGTTATATAGGACAGTTCGAGACGCGACCTCCAGTGTTCTACTGCGGGAAATGAACTGGTGAACCGCCACTTCGCCCTCTAAGCTACAGGCTCATCGTTAGACGAACCTTTAGCGATATGGACAGCAATGTCAACGAGGTTACAATATCGATCTTTAGAGATAATAATGTAGTTATAAACGTGCTAACCTATTGATACAGTTCTATTAAAATAATAATATTATTGATTGCAGTTCATAATAATACGGATCCATAGATTGATTTGACATTGAAATACTTGCATGTTAAGTTTGTCGTCCGTTTGGGGTGTATCGTTGTCACTGAGACCCTCTCACAACTGGTCCGTTCTGTCTGTTGACTTCCGCATTTCCGTTGGTCTGGTATCGAAGGTGAACGCCCGCGGGCTCGGCCGACGGACAATACCATTCAATGTGCCTCGTAATGTTTTAACTGAAATTTAGAGGATTATAACTGATTAATCATAGTAACCAACAGTTTAAGGCATAAATATTATTTATCTTATTAATTGGAAACTATTCTATTCTATTACCGGTTAAAAATACTTTATTATGCAATAAGTAATTTACTAGGATTATTTAAACCTGTTAAAAACTATGTAAATTAACCTAACAAAAGTGCTAACGTATTTTTTTTTTATATCATAAGGTGGCAAACGAGCAAACAGCCACCTAAATGGGCCAAAATACCGAAGCGACCGCTGTCCTTAGACATTCGAAATAACTGATGCGTTGCCTACCTTTAATCGACGGAGTAGGAGACGCACATAGAGGATATTTCTCCTTTCTTTGCGTGTCCACCACCGTCAAATCCACGTCCCCTTTCCATCCTATCTTGACATATATATATATATTGATCTTAGCTATATCTGCAAAAGCTTGGAAGGAATAAAAAAAATATTATCAACAGCGTACCATTTCGTCAAAGTCCGGCAACGCATCTGTAGTTCTTTTGGTATTGCGGATGTCGATGGCCGTCGATCAGTTTGGTGTTCCCGTCGCTAGTTTGCCCCTTAAAAAAACAGGATTTCAACCGTGATTTATTTGGTTCATGAATTTTGTGGTATTATTAAATATACGTATATTCAACTCTAACTTTGGTTCTATTGATTTATGAAAGTAAGTTATAAATGTTAGTCATCAATTTAGCCCAGTATAAGTTCGGTGCACAATCTTTTAATTCGTGATCGTTTCCAAGAATGGTCTGAGAAACGGACAATTTACTTTAATCGTACCAAAATGTGACAAAATAAAGCCAACAAAGGAATCATCATGAGGTAAAATCTACATTTCATAATTTACAATCACTTCACATGCTTTAATTCGGTATTTTAAGATTTAAAAGTAATCTTTTCTAACATAAATGACTTAGGGCATGTCCCACCAGATGGTAAATTATCTAATAACAATCCAACGTGTAAAACATTTGATGGAAATATAGGATTTTGTTACCTGTTATCTGACAGTGATGTCATTTTTAAGCTATCTATGCCTCTATCAGCCAGTGGTGGGACAGTCCCTAAGAATCCTCTGTAGTAAAACGTACAAGATATAAAATTGTTAGTAGAAGCGTCACAGACACTAGAATATGTAGTGTTTTGAAAGATGACGTCATCCACATCGCATCTTCATTTATCTAACTTCTTTTTCATGCGGTTTTTATCTAATCAACAAAAATAATTTAGTTATTATAAAGTCTTATAAAATCGGTTGGTTATAATAAATACGAAGCTGCATTTTACTTCATTGTAGTTGTAAAAATGAAAATAGTTATATTAGTATTTTATCGATGAGGGCCAACAAGATCTCTCGCAGGTTTGATCGCTGCACGATAGAGGTTAAAATCACTCTATTTAGAGCTTACTGCATAAGCGTCTACGCGAGCACCCTCCGCGTTCAGTACAATAATGCCTTCAGAGTGCTGTTGGGGCTACCACGATTCTGCAGCGCATCGGGGATGTTTGCTGAAGCGCACGTCGATTGTTTCTGTCACTAAGCGCAAAAGATGCGCATCCCTGGATTTTTTAACGAGATTGTTACAATACCTCGAAAAAATCTACAAACAAGAACATTGAACTTGAAAAGATGATTGACATTCACCCAATTTGTTGCATCTATGGTTCAATGATCCAACTAACGCTTCGTCGAACAATTTACAATGAATTATACAATGATTATGGTTGCAATAAAAAAATAACGCGCACGGACTCAGCGAATTTTCTAAACGACACAAATCTTTAGGATAAATAAGTAAAATCTCTTAATTGGTGAAAATCCCCAATAAAAAGTATTATTTGATAAAAGAAAACAACATTAAAACGCAATTGTATGTCTTCGTATCGGATCTAATAGTCTAAACTAAAAAGACTATTAAAATTTAGGTTACATAGACTAAGGGCCAGTCCCACCCCTGGCTGATAGCTCAGATAGCTTAAAAACGACGTCACTGTGAAATATGGCAACAAAACCCGATATTTCTATTACATATTTTACACGTTGGATTGTTATCAGACAGTTTACAATTTGGTAGGACAGGCCCTAAATCACAATTATAACAAAAATACAATATAAATCACCAGACTTCTTAAAAATAGGCCCTAAATCACAATTATAATAATTTTACATCAAAAATAACCAGACTTTTTAAAAAATATATTACTTAAAAGCGGATCAGCACATTGTACAGTTGATAGAGATTTCCCAACCGCTTCAAGTGCGTCAGTATGTCGTAACTATAGTTTTTGCTATTTTTTCTATAAACTAGATTAATAACAATTATCATTGTTCTACTAATTAAAATGTTTTAATATCATACAATGGAAACGTGGTCTGTTTTTACTGATAGTAATCTTTTGTTTTTTATATTTTAAATGGTTAATAGAAAATGGAGCCGTAATTAGGTGCGAAAAAATAAATTTCGGAGCTTTAAAATTATCGTTATGTTAGTTATAAAAATGATAAGTATCTAACGGTCGCATACTGAAACGACTTTAAACACCTCGTTTTTTAAACGTCGCTTACAATCAGACATCAAAAATTTTATATAATTGGAAGTTAAAGCGTGGCCTTATCATTTCAGACGCTGTTATTTAAAAATCGTTTCACTGTTCGGCCGTAATAGTTTTAACCTTAAAACGAGTAAAGCGGGTAAACAATTCGCTTGAACGGTGGACGTTACGAGATGTGTAAATTCTTGGGGCCTTCACCTTGTGATCGAGTCCCAGTCAACCGTGTCGTAGAAACGGAGAAAAAATTGTATTACTTAATACTATTTTTAATGAGGCCAAGTTCATTGGGCATGCTTGGCTTGGTAAACGAATACAAACATGTGCATGCAATACAAAACTTTCGTAACATTTTCAAGCAACCGGACATCTGTACTTTCGGTTACTGTATACACATAACTACGTATGTAAATACTTGTAAATAATACAAACAAAATTATTACAAAAAACACTTAAAATCATTCTGTTAATTTTTTAAGAAGATAATGCGTATCTTTATTTTTTTGCCAAATATTATTTACGATTTAAATTAGCAATTAACGATAAGCAAAAATTATGAATTTTTGATAATTCCAAATAAGCAAAAAATTGTTTTTTTATTTTATTTTAATTGTGTTTAAAAAATTTGAAGGTCGTAACAACCTTGAAGACCAATTTTGTTCCTGTTCACAAAAAGTCTTATGTGGAAACTTTTTATTGGTTTCATTTTTTCATATGAATATACTAGATCTGCATATTTAAATTATTACAACAAAGCGTAAGATAACGGATTTTAAAATGAAACAAAAACGATGTCTTTCGTAAGAAAAAAAATCAGGCAATAACCAAAATTGAGATTTCCATGAGGACACTTAATAATAATTATATCCCGATTGGAACTTGTTTTGTTTAAACGATTAATATAATTTTTTACATTTGGTTTTAAATAAATTCTCATTAATTTATAACTATTATTAATATATTTAAACATAAATATTAAATGACGATAATCTTTTGTTTATGGTAATAAACTGATATATCAATATTAAAAAATTCATATTTACTTTACAAATGTAAATCAATGCATATGTCGTTTGTCAGATACAGTTATATTATTAATTTTATAAAACATTTCTAATTAAAAAACATAAATCTAGAATTTTTAAATTACGTCCGGATATTTACAAATGGAATACATCCATTTGAAAATCAAATTCTTAAGCTTTCATGCCATTTTGAAAAGATAGCAAAAACTACAGACGTGATTTACATCATCCACTTGCCCTTATCCCTTACGGAGGGTCGGCACAGTATGTGCTGCTCTTCCATACACCTCTATTAGCCGTCATATCTAAATCCACTCCTTTTTTAAGCATTTCCTCTTTCACAAATACAATCTATACTATTATAATAAAGCATAAACATAAACTTCTTTGTTGCCTAAGATGTCAGCAATTACAGCAAATTTTTAAAAAATTCTTTTTTTAATAAAAGGCCTACACTTACGTCATGCTTTAGGCTATATATTTCCACGCCATGAAATTTAGGGGGTAAATATTTTGGATAAAAACCCTAATGTGGGAAAGAGAGCATAAGTTGCTGCCAACACCAAGAAAGAAAGATTGCTGAGGTTTGTCATGTCATTTTGACATTTGCTATTGATAATTTGACAAATGTAAACAATAAAATAAAATTTTCATAATTTCATACGGATGAAGTCGCACGGGAACAGCTAGTTAGTTATAAAGTTGAATTTTCGAAATAACCTAATTAAAAGTGTATTTATAATACATATCACCAAGGGCTGTTAAATTAAAATCGAAGTAAACGTCGTTAAATAAACACGACTATAAATAAAGTACGTACACACATCTTTTATTTACAGTTATAATAAATAAATAACTTCGAAGTGTATTTGTCAATTTTTGTTAATTGTAGAAGACAAGGTAATATTTTCAAATTGTTCTACGATGAATCTGTTTGTGGGATAGTAAGGTAAGTTATTCGAAGATGCTTTTTGAAATAGTCAGTATTATTTGAAACTCGATTCACAAAAGCTTCGCCAACCTCAAGTACGACTGG